ATGGACGTCCCTTACACTGGGAATAAGGGGTTCAACGAAGGAGAAGAAGTGTTACTGAAAACTAGGAACAAACATTCATGGCGGTGGGAGCATGAACCATAGTAGGCGGAGTCAAAACCAGGAGTTTCTAATAACGGCACAAGGTAGCCAGAATGGCAGCAAAAAGTATGTAAAGTCGAGAAGAAGTAAGGTCAAAGTGTTCATGATGGAGGATAGTCTGAACTGAAGTGGACCTAATCAAATCCAGAAAGTGGCAATGTTCAAGACATCTCAGAAATAGGGAAAATGGGCAGAAAGCAGTCAAGGAGTAGAGATGAAATGACCCAAGGAGAGCAGAGGTGAAATCAAAAATTGCGATGGAATCATTAGATATCGCGGAAGCCCGCTTTGAAGCACGATCACGTGTAGAGAGCCAAAGTGGAAGTTACATGTACTGAATGGGCCAAAATGGTTCAAAACCGTGAATATATCAGTCGTGCAGATCCTCAGGACCGAAGGACTTTCAGGGGTTCCTTGGAAGTACCATGCACCACTAACAATAAGGCCGATGACATATCTTGCGAATCGCTAGATTCGCAAAGTCTGATATCTGCCTAAAGCAGACGAACGAGACTTGATTAGCTCAATTTTCCAGCTCCAACAGTTCTGATGGTTCATCTTCTTGAAGCTTACCACTTTGCCAAACAAAGTTTTCGTGTAATTACTTATATTAATCTGCGATCAATTGATATGTGGCGGTGATCTCGATATCCGATGACATCACAATTTTTGGCTCAAATCGAATACATGGCACACTTGAAAATTGATCATGGATCCTTAATTCATTTATTTTCTTCCCCTCAGTCGTATGGATGTCGCTTGGTCTCATTTGTTGTTTCCTCAACATAAGTTCTATTTATTTGACCAGTTTCTCGGTGCATGTTGATTATATTTTTGCATATTTATTGACCTAGTTACTACCCTCAACTTTTCGATAAGCTCACCGCCATTATTTTTGTACACTGCTGTTTTGGTGATTGGGTTGTTTTGTGAAATGTGGTATTTTTTACCAGATTAGTCCCCCGTCAACCGCCGGGACCTTCCTTTCCTGCGCAAGCTTTCTATCCTCCGCTATGGTCCCTTCCTCCTGTGACACCAACACCCTGGAAGTGACGCGTATGCAACACAATGGTGTTTCATACAGTAGAAGGGACACAATCATGATATGACGGTAGATTTTTCGCTTCCCTTCCTCATCCTCCCTTCCTCTCTCCACTGCTGCCCTCCAGCTGCCACTGCAGCACCATGTGGAATGAACGGAAGTGTGCTAAGCAGGTGTTTATATAGCCCTAAGAGTGTTATCACAACTATCCTGCTACAAAACATTGATATCTCAAATCCTGTAAGCTACCCGATTTGTTAGCGGTTTGTTTATCCCATGAGCTTCCTTCTCACTCACTTCATTTTGCGGACGGACACACATACATACACACACACACACACACACACACACAGATACACAAACCGACACACAAAGTTAGCGCTTTATATAATAGAAGGATTGGACTTGAAGGCAAGGCGGATTAGGTCAGTGGATTGATGCTCTAGCAAGAGAAAGGTGAAGAGTTATCGGCAAGAATGCGGATCTTACTGACCTCTGGACAAAAAACTGTTAGGCAAAGCGCTAAAGCGTTAGGATACGCACTGGACTACAGCCAGCACTTGGCTTTCCGCCAAGAAATTGACGTCATGGGCCAAATCCGGTCTCGCTAGTGTCCAAGCTCTCCCCGTACCGACTCTTTTCCCTCTCCGCAGCGTTCTATATCTCTTATCTCGCAGTCTATCTCCTAGAACCTCCAACGCCCGAAGCAGTGCTCTCCATTTTGTATTTTAGTTAATTTTTTTCATTTTTTTCCACTATCGGAACATATCAGCTTGTCCAAAGATCATCTCTAACCGACCTGGGTGGAAATCTAACCAAAGTCAACTGAGGTGAGAACTGATCCTACGAGGCATGCAAGCTCTGAATGTCTACACCTACCGTCGCACCACATTCAACCTTTGATATATCTATTCTATTCCGCCGTCTCTACTGGACCATTTAATTTCATTTAGGCACAACGTCTTGCCGTCTACATTTGTGAAAATATCGTGTAGTTTACATTTCAGCGATTGTTTTTGAATTCTGAAATTATTAAGCAATATGTTTTCAGGAACACATAACATTCTTATCATATAGTGTTTCTCTCCATGACGTTTCTAAATTTTGAGTCATACCAATTGACCTTTTTCTTTGCATTTCTCAGCGAATATCGAGTGTTTGATTATTTCGAGACGTTTCTTCCCTGTTTTTCAGGCCCCATCACAATGGGTAATGCAGTTTACACGGATCAGGCAGTCTGCTACAACACAGTGGAAGCATGTGAGCGAGTACAATAATACGATTTCTTCGCTATTTTTGTTTACTTCATATACGCCCACTTATTTACATGTTTTTGCAGTTGTCTTGTATTTTTCAAACAATACACATTCTGGTGTTTTGTCATGAAATTTACAGTTTATGATTAAGGCGATAGTTACCCTCTCGTTCGATACTTCTGGGGCCGGGTGCAGCAAGCCCCAACTAGGGGATGGGACACCATCCCCTCACCCAACTAGGGGATGAATACTCACCCAATGGGGAATATATCCCTTACCTGGGGATACAATCCCAACCTTGATGATGTATCCAACTAGGGATGTGTCCCGTAGTTGTCGTGAGGAGATTGGCCCATCCCTAGGTGGAGCTAAGAATGTGGTTGGGGTTGCTGCATCCGGCCCAGAGTAGCCCAATATACAAGACGTGGAGCATAGACCCGATTATCGCAACTTGAAGTCGAGGATTAATGACGGTGGGGGGGGGGGGCGTAAACTGTGCGATGAGGAGAGCGACGTATTAGTGGAGGAATCGCGTTGGTATTCAACGATGAGGTGCGGTCTTATTTGGAGTTGGGAAAGGGGAATGTGGCCTGTATATGTCCAAGCCACAGTTTTGATAGTGAAGTGTGGAATTAATGAAAACTGTTTGGACCTATATTGCTTGATTCATCCGTTTGACGCACACGAGAATTGGAGGAAGTGGTAGTGGTAACGTGGTATCTGCTTATACTCTTATGTCACCATGACCATGTGGAGATGGGTAGGGGTCGTGGGAGGTCATGGTGTACGTAGTTAGGGAGAGGATCGTAATTTTGATGGCTGAGAGGGGAGTCTTATCAAACCGTCGGTCATCTTGCATCGCTTGAAGGTTTATACGTCGAGGACTTCTCCACGGTAGTGTTTATGGGTTGGTGGAACTGCGAAGGGGGAGGCGAAGGTGGCGGGAAGATCGTCGTACTTGAAGGTTTTTTAACTACTCTCAGCCTCACACATTCCATCCTCTGTTCCTTAACAAATAGTTCACTCTACAATGGTCCCCTTTTGAAAAAGTCATTGACTTTTCACAATTTGAGGCGTCGCCGTGCTCTTAGCGCGGATGAGTTCGTAGCAGAGTCAACCCTGCGTTGCGCAGTTTCAACGGCCACGTTGCGCAGTTTCGCTCGATAGAGACACGTTCTCTCGCGCGAACATTCACACTCGCATGCTCAGAGCAGGGGTCAAGCGAGGCGTTGAGGAAAATTCGGAAACCCCCCCCCTCCCTCTGCCGAAGGCCGAAGTCCATGAAACAACCCTCTTCAAAAGCCGAACTATGAAAAAGTTGTTTAATTCTCCCCAAAACTGCTCATAAAAAAGCCCTGCTACCCCACCGCCCACAAAAAAATTCGTTTAAGAAGTACAAAAGTGAAAAAGTCAAAGAATAATCATTATTGATGAGTCCTACCAAACGAGCAAACGAGAAACAGACCAGAAAACGACAAACTAGCCACTAAAAATGGCATACCATGACAACATCTGTTCTTTATTTATTTCCTCCACAAGACTTACCAAATTCTAGTACTACACAGATTGTGGTTCTCAATTTGCACGTAGCCCTTCAGTTGAAAGAAGCTTTTTAACCGCCTTCGCCAGCTGTGTGTTGACTGGACTTTGGCGTTGACCGTGGAGCAGCTTATTTACTATTGAAATTTGAACAAATATTCAAATGATTATAACTTTCTTCAAATATGACGAATTTTCAATCTGAAAGCAGATTTGGAAGTTTTGTGAAGAGCTTTTTCTAATCAGTACTGAAATTACAAAAAGTTATAAGAAATAACAAATTTAGATCAAATTAACGAGGAAAATTCGAGATGAGCACGAGTTTTTACACTTTCCGAGCAATAACTTGCTTCATTTCCGTCAAATTCGAAAAGTTAATATGTCATACAAAACTAGAAGATTTTCTCTATCAAACGGTTGCTAAAGCAGCTTATACGTCCAGTATTCAAAAAATGGCCACGTTGAGGATTTTGCAAAATTAACGAGGAAAATTTGTGATGAGTGCGAGTTTTTTTACTTCCTAAAGCCATAACTCCGTTCAAACTCATCCAATCCGAAAAGTAAATACGCCATCATAAACTAGAAGATTTGCTCTATCAAATGCTTACTAGAACTGCTCCAAACGTCCAGTATTAAAAAAACGGCTACGTTGAGGATTTTCGCACGAGTACCGCCGAAAGGTACTTTTTCGCTACATTGGCACTATTTCAACGGCTGTATATCCTTTTAAGGGCGATTATGTACTAAAGTAAGAGCAGATTTGGAATCACTGCTTTTCTCTTTCTAAGAAAAGTGATTGATTAGCGTTTCTCAACTTTAAAGGTTACATGTTTATAAATTTAACCCTGAAGAGTCCGTTAACGCAATGTTGAATGGTGTACACCTCCCTGTAAATGCGCACGGACACTTTCAGAATTCTCTCGATTGTTCCTGAATTGAGGTTGTTTGTCC